AGGGATTGAATAGGTAAGAAATTGTCATTAAACCTGTGTTACGAAGTGCCACAGTTGGAATCAGCGTGTTTCGACCTCATTTCCTTCTATCAGCTAGCCGCTAGTCTCCCCACTTGCCCTCTCTCTCACCCTCTCCTCTGCAGCCCTTTCTCCAATGCTTCCTGCTTCTCATTTCTCTGCTCTCTCATTTCGTTCGGCAGGTACCAGACCAGTGGAGCTACACCATTTCCTCCGCATATTCTTCCAGCAGCTCACCTCTGCCTTCCAATCACCCCCGTTCTTCCAGCAACTCACTGCTTACCCTCCCTCTCCTCTCCTCTCCTCTCCTCTCCTCTCCTCTCCTCTCCTCTCCTCTCCCTCTCCTCCTCCTCTCCTCTCCTCTCCTCTCCTCTCCTCTCCTCTCCTCTCCTCTCCTCTGCCTCCTCAAACGTGTGCCTTACAGGTATCAGTGGAGCTACATCACTTCCTCCGCATATTCTTCCAGCAACTCACCTCTGCCCTTCCCGATGCTGACTGGCAATCCGTGTCCGCCGGACCTCATTCCGGACCTCATTCCGGGCCACACCCTGGGCCTCACACCGGGCCTCACTCTGGACCACATTCTGGACCTCATGGTCCCCACATGGACCTCCAACTCATCCCCCTCATGCCTCACCCCATCCCCCCTCTCAAGGCCAACCACCCCCCTCCTCTCACCCATCCCCCCACCTTCCCCCTCACATGCTCCACCCCCTCCCCTCCCACTCATCTCCCCATCCCCCGAACCATCCCCCCCAGTCAAGTCCTTATCCTCCCCATCCCAACACGCCCCCCATCCCTCCCATGCTCCCCACGGCCCCCATCCTCCCCAGGGGAGACAGGGCCCTCCCCATCCTTCCCCCGCCCCCTCCCCCCACCCTCGCAACCAAACATCACCACCCCCACAGCACTTCTCACACCCAGACTCAACCCGAGAGGGCTCCCTCCCCCCCCACCCCATGCCACCCCTTCACGAGCCCCCTTTTCCCATGCAAACCCGCACTTCTCGTCCCTCCCTCCTCCGCTCTCCTCCTCCCACCCTCCCTCACATGCTCCCCAGCACCGCATCTCACTCCCTCCCAACGCTCCCAAACCATCCCGCCACCCCCATGCCGCCTCCCTAGCAGGCAAATGCTGCCGGATAGGCAGTCATTTCAGGAACGCCCCCCTCCCTCCTCTCAGCCTCAGTTTGTAGGGCAGCATGAGCAGCACAATCAGCACAACCTCCCCCACATGCCGCCTCCACCACACAATCCAAACTTCAACAACCCTCCCTCTCACTTCCCCAGAGCTTCCGGTCTGGGAAGGCAGGGGTTCTCTGAGCCTCCAGGCCCGGGGAGGCAGGGATTCTCCGAGCCTCCTGGCCCAGGGAGGCAGAGATTTTTCCGAACCGCTAGGTCCGGGACGGCAGGGTTTTCCGAGCCTGGAGGCCCAGGAAGACATGGTTTTCCTGAGCTGTTGGATGATCGAAGGCACGGTTTTCCCGAGCCTCCTCCTCGGGGCATGGTGGGAGGTCCGAACGAAACCCATGCCTCCGCCGCAGGTTCGGTGGCAGGGAGGTCCGGGAGAAGGCCCGGGACATCCAGGAGGGGGGATGGGAGGAGGGGGGGAGAGGTGGGGGGAGAGGCGGAGGAAGAGGGGAAGGGAGAGGTATGGGGAGGGGCGAGTTTTCTGGGGCGGAAGGGGGAGGGATGAGGGGAGGGAGGGGAGGAAGGGGAGGAGGGAGAATGAGTCTAGGAGGTAGAGGGAGGGGTGGAGGGGGGAGAGGAGCAAGTGGAGGAGGAGGAAGGGAGCAGGAGGCAGGGGAGGAGCGGGAGGAGGAGGAGGAGGACCAGTGGCACCCACTGCAGCGGCTGCAGCAGCGGCAGCGGCAGCAGAAGCAGCAATGGCAGTAGTAGCAGCAGCATCTCAGCAAGCGAGGAGAGGGAATGATGGGGGAGGAGAGGAGAGAGGAGACAAAAGCCCTCCTAGAAGGCGACAGAGATTGGACGACTGAAGTAGAAACCACACAAGTATGGTTGGATGAGGGTTGACTGAGATAGCACCCTTAGCCCAAGGGTTGGGTCTCTAGAAGTTAATAGAGAGGTCCTGATTCGGGCTCTGAACCAGTAAGGGGGTACTAGAAAACTTCACCATACCTTCTCTTGAAGGAGTCGTACTAATTGTACATGGTTTCTTCATCTTGGGATCTAAAGCACAATCTTGAAAAGGCATGGCTGTAGTGGGTATGGATGTTTGGCAGACATGAATGCTCTGCCACGCCAGTCTGACATGGATATTTTGAATCTGCACTTGTGCTGAGTAGACCAGCGTTTTCCGATGGACATCGTGAAATCTTCGAGCCGTGGCCCCTTCGTGGAGTGATTTATGACGTGGTCACACGTGGCTAATTTCTGCCGCAATTTTTTTTACATGGTTGGGTTTGCCGAGTTCTGCCCATGAATTTGCGAATTTGTTGGGCCTTTTCTACAACCCTCGATAAGTGCCAACTGAACTGTCTATTCAGACACTTAGGTCCACCAAAATGCAAGTTCTTGTTGCAAATCAAATCTTTGGAAGTCCATTATATGTACCCAGAAATCTGTACTTGACAGGGAAACCTGTTAAATCGTCCATGTCGTTTCATCCCTTGACAACGAATCGCAGGTCTTCTCTATTAGACACGCTGTTTCGCGTTCGATGATTCGCAGACTCCACCACACACTCGGGCGGCGAATCGACGATGCGCGGAAGCACAATCCTTCTCGCTGGTTCGTTTCGTTTGCGGCCGCAACTGCGCTCCCGCCAACGCAACCACCTCGTTTCGCTGACTGACCAGTTGAGTGGGTTCGGTACACTACACACACACACAGCACACGGCACAGCATGCCAACCGAACAGAAGTCGAGCCAAATGTATTACCTCATTTCTAGCCTCCATTCTCTCTGGACTTGCACCACTTGGAGTGCCGACAGAATACGTGCGAAGTTATTTATCTCACCTTTGTTTGCTCACCCAGCTGCTGCGTCTGCTTTCCTACTCACACTCCTTAGCTCGTGCCTTTCGGCATTGCGCACTTTAGGGTGCGGCTAGTTGGCGGCAAGGCACGGTTAGGTACGATTGAGTACGGTTAGCTGCGGCCAGCGTCGCATTCAAGCGGGGTGTAACGAACCGGCTGCGATGGCGTATTCAGTGCGGTTGACCTCGATGGTCCCAACGGCGGGAGTTCGCCTCCCGCGGGATGCGGCGCGGTTAGAGTTCGCAGGCGGCATTTCCGGCGGTAAATGCGGAGCCGTCGATCGATCGCTGCGATGCATGCGAACGTGTCGTGCGACGGTTGAAACGTCGCATAGTCTACGAGTACGAGCCGCGCAGGGGTGTGGCAGCAGCTGCGACATTTTCGCGCCAGAGCTGCGAATGCCACGTGGCGATCCGGCCTCATCTACCGCCGCGGTAACGCATACGACGGCTCGGCGTACAGGCGGTGAGCTTACAAGCGCCGCGGCTCGATCTTGTCGACAGCAATCGGTACTTGCCGCTGAACGACCGCAGTGTTGGTTGGGGCGGGAATCGCGGCAAGATAAGGTCTGGCCGCGAGGCCCGCGGCAGGGCCAGTCGAGGTTCTTACGGCGGAATTTACGGCGGCTAACCCGGGGGTTTAGACACGTGACGATGTGTGCAGGTGACGAGGGGGCTGGTCATACTAACGAAAACGATGCCTTTCGCGTCGGCTCCAATAAGAGCGACAGAGCTCTTCGTCAGCCACTTTCGCGCGACGCACCGCCAAACAGGGCAGCTAGTAGCGCGGCGGGGGCGGCGCCTGTCAAAGATGCAACGGCGAGTTCAAGAAGCGGGGGCGGCACGATCCTCGGAGCCGTGGCGCTCATTATAGGAACATCCGTCGGCGCGGGTGTGCTGGCGCTGCCCGCGGAAACTGCTCCTGCGGTAAGCTTGTTGCGCGAGGTGTTGGCGGGGGGAGAGGGGGAGCGGATATGAGGATGTGAATAAGCCATATAGACTCCTATCCCTCTGCATCCCTCACCCTAGACTGCAGGAGTGAATATGCCTGCATCGCTCCCCCCATCCCTCGGTTTCCCACTTTCCCGATTCCCCTCTCCCCCCCTCCCATTCCGGGCCCCATCCCTCCCTCTCCTCCCATCCCTTCTCGAATGTATTTTCTCAGGGTGTGTTCCCCTCGTCGTTCGTGCTAATAGCCTGCTGGGCGTTCCTGTGTCTTGAGGCATTGCTGCTGGCGGAAGTCAACGTCGCTCTCATCAAGGAGCGATCCGTTAGTAGCAGCACCGTTAGCAGCAGCATGGCTACTAGCAGTACCGCTAGCAGCAGCAGCAATAGCGGCACCATCAGCAGTACCGGAGCTGCAGGTTCGGAACAAGAGCCTGAGCGAGGCTCGGACGTCCTGTCGTACCGAACCATGGCCGAGGCGACTCTGGGTCCCGTGGGCGGCACTGTAGCTACAGTAGCATACGTGTTTTTGTCCTTCACCCTTATAGTCGCGTATTTCGCAAAAGGAGGGGAAGTTTTGGCGTTTGGTACGGGTCTGCCCAATTGGGTGGGTGCAGTGGGGTTCTTTTCGGTGCTGGGTGGTTTAATCTACAGCGGCAGTACCAGAACAGCGGATATCATTAACCGGGTATTGACAGCTGGTTTGCTGGGGATATTTACCCTGCTGGTCTGCGGAGGGGCGGCAATCGCGGACTGGGATGAGCTGGCAGTTGCTGATTGGTCAGAAATGCCGACCACTCTCCCCGTGATCTTCCTCGCGCTGGTCTTCCACGATTTGATTCCCGTGATCTGCACGTATCTGGACGCGAATCTGGGAAAGATTCGGGCGGCAATTGTGATCGGGAGTGCAGCACCTCTTACAATGTTTCTAGTATGGGACGCCATAGCTCTTTCCATCTCCCCTTCCTCCCTCACTTCGGCCGCTGCTGCCGCCGCTGCTGCTCCTGCCGGTGCCTTTTCCCTCTCCTCCCTCTCCTCCGCCGTCTCCTCTCTCTCCTCCTCCCTCTCCCACCTCGCCTCCTCCCTCCCCTCCTCTCTCTCCACCGCCCTCTCCACTCCCTCTCTCGCTCCCTCACTCACTCCCTCACTCCCTCACTCGCTCTCCACGCCCTTCCAAGACCCACTGAACCTCCTCCTGCTGCAAGGCTCGCCGCTCCAATCCTCCGTCGTTCTCGCATTCTCTTTCCTTGCCGTAGCAACGTCGTTCCTTGGCACATCACTTGCCCTAGCTGAATTTTTCATGGAGCAACTGGGATTGATCAGTGCAGGTGACAAGAAGAGGGATGAAGAGCAGCTGGGGTTGATAAGCGTGGGTGACAAGAGGAGAAACGAGGAACAACATGGGCGAATAGACCTGAAAAGCCAAAGGAATCAAGCTCAGAAGCAGCAGGAGACAGCAGTTACTGCAGTAGATATCGCGGGAACCGGTTTAGGGTTTGTGAGGTCGCATGGGAGGGAGGTAGGGTTTCTTCTGGCCCTCTGCCCGCCTCTGCTGGTGGCTTTGGCAAACCCTGGCGCGTTTGTGGCGGCAAGCAAGGCGGCAGGCGCATACGGCATGACAGTGCTGTATGGCATCATGCCTCCATTGATGTTCTATGCGCATCACAAGCAGGTGGGTTGCTTCTCTCACCCTGTTATTGCCGATCCAAATCAAGGCAGCAGGCAGTGCTGTATGGCATCATGCCTCCATTGATGTTCTATGCGCATCACAAGCAGGTGGGTTGCTTCTCTCACCCTGTTATTGCCAATCCAAATCAAGGCGGCAGGCGCATACGGCATGACAGTGCTGTATGGCATCATGCTTCCCCTCATGTTCTACGCGCATCAAAAGCAGGTGGGTTGGGGGGAATGCAGGTGGGTTGGGAGGGATGCCTAGTGGGTGCTGATTGTGCCCAAGGCAGCAGGCGCATATGGCATTACAGTGCTGTATGGCATCATGCTTCCCCTCATGTTCTACGCGCATCAAAAGCAGGTGGGTTGGGGGGAATGCAGGTGGGTTGGGGGGAATGCAGGTGGGTTGGGAGGGATGCCTAGTGGGTGCTGATTGTGCCCAAGGCAGCAGGCGCATATGGCATTACAGTGCTGTATGGCATCATGCTTCCCCTCATGTTCTACGCGCATCAAAAGCAGGTGGGTTGGGGGGAATGCAGGTGGGTTGGGAGGGATGCCTAGTGGGTGCTGATTGTGCCCAAGGCAGCAGGCGCATACGGCATGACAGTGCTGTATGGCATCATGCCTCCTCTCATGTTCTACGCACATCACAAGCAGGTGAGGAAGGTGGGGTGCGGTGGGGTGTGGTGGGGTGGGGTGGGATGGGGTTTCTTCTAGCCCGCTGCCCGCCTCTGCTGGTGCATCTGGCGAATCCGGCCGCGTTTGTGACACCATGGTAATCCTTTCTTGCTAGCAAGGCAGCCTCAAAACGGAAATCCTTTCTGCTCTCCCTCCTCCTCTCCCTTCTCCTTCACATTTCCCTCCTCGCCTCCGGCTGCCTGTATCCTGGCCTTGTACCAAGCAGGAAGCAATAGTGTGCGACCCAGCAACCAAGGATTGCTCAACACACCATCGCTGGTTGGAGCCTGGGGGCAGCTTTGCCCTGGCCAGCACGGGAGCCTGCGCTTTCTCCGACCCTAACCTGGCTGGCTGCATTCCCTCCTTCCACCATGTCCCAAGCAGGAAGCAATAGTGTGCGACCCAGCAACCAAGGATTGCTCAACACACCATCGCTGGTTGGAGCCTGGGGGCAGCTTCGCCCTGGCCAGCATGGGAGCGTGCGCTTTCTCCGTCATCGCGGGGCAAGCCCTGCTCGATTCTTCCCTTGACACTTCCTTCCTGTCGTCGCGTGGGGAAGGAGCATCGTTTGTCCTCGCTCAGAGCGACTCGGTACTGGATAACA